TAAGAGAGGGAGCGTGGGGAGAGGCCAGGAAGGCAGGACCTTCCCTTTGCTCACAGGCTGGGCACAGACTCCTAGGCCATCCCCTCGTTCCGCACGCCCTGAGCCCCACTGTCTATTTCTGGTGAAATCTAAGGACAGGGATGCATTTGACGCGAGGGTCCCCAGGGAAGGATAGGGAGTCTGCCTGCACCACGGCACCGTCGCTTCTAGGAAGGCCCACGATGAAGTCTGGACGCTGTCCTCAGCCGCACCATGTGACTGCGGGGCGCTGGGCGGGGAGGGCACATCGGGGACTCTGCAAAGGCTGTGACCGTCCGACCACTGCTGCACCCGAGGCCGATGCAGAGCAAGGCCGAAAGGAAACGGTCATTGAAAGTTAGACAATAAGTAAATTTTAAAAATAAAGAAAAGTATCCCATTGGAGAGAATAGTGGACATGCTTCATATCGTCACTGAGAAGTTTAGCAACGTGGGCCCTTGGATTCCTGATTTGTTAAAGGGAACCAATAAATGCATACGTGCATGTAGAAGAGAAGACAGTTCACCTTCGGGGGACTAGGCCTTTGACGTTCGGGGTGTCTGCCACACTTAGCGCCTGTCGGGACCTGCACCTCCCAAGTGGGGACAGTGATTTCCGGACCCGGACCACACCGGTGCGCCGCCCAGCACCCGGCACAGGGTGAGGAGGGCCCGGCCGAGGAGCTAGGACGGCCCCTGGAAAGCACCCCTCCGCAGCTCCAGCGCCGTTTGAAGTGCTTTGTTTGCAACTAGGTCTGTAAACAGCACGGTCCTCGTCTCACAGCTCGGACCGATTCATCTCTGCCCAGCGAGCAGGCACTGTTTTCTCAGCTGCAAATCATGCTAATCAGGAGCCAATAGACAGGAATGTGGAGTCAACAGCCCAACGCCGCCTGCTGTGATGGCTTTCCCAGCCCCCTCTGCAGGCGCTGCAGGGGCGGCCCAGCGAGCGGTGCCAGCAGGGATGGGAGGGGAGACCTGAGGGGATGCCCCTCAAAGCTCGGGTCCCTTGCTCTGTGCTTTTATCTGACATGCAGACACCTGGGGTCATTGGCCAGAATGGGTGCAGGGCAAGTTCTCAGGGGTGTCTGGGAGGAGAGCAGTGGGGGGCTATGGGGTACGCATGGCGTTTGGTTAAAACGCTGACTGTCCCGGGAGACAGTCACTGGAATCTAACCACTCCATGGGGTGAGCGAGGGGGCTGGGAAAGGGCGAGGGTGATGAGGGAGGGCTGCCCGGCCTCGGGGAGGCCAGCCTTAGGGACAAAGGGCTGTGTGTGCTGGAGCTCTACCCATCGGCTCCCGCACACCGAGCCGCCTCGTACCCGCCGGCCACCTCCCTGCTCCCCAAGGGGACGTGCAGCTGGGCCGCCGGCTGGCGGGGAGCAGGCCCACCTTCAGCTCCGGCTCTGGTGCTCTCGCCCATCCTGTGACCTGCTCCTGCTCCTGCTCCTGCTCCCGGCCCAGGCCCAGGCTCCATCCACTCCGAGGCCCCTTGTCTCCACGGGAGGGCACAGCAGCACGGAGCCGGGGTCCGCACCCGGCGGGCAGCCAGCAGCCAGCACCCCGCTCCGTGGCAGGCACACAGCTCACTGCAGCGCGTCGGCCAGCACAGCTGGGGGCCTCCTGCAGGCGCACAGGTGGAGGTCACGGCCCGACACGCAGGTCCTGGATGCTAACTCACCGCCGCTGTGGCCGCTGCAGCCCTCAGACCGTTAAAGGCAGGTGGTCAGTGTCACCGAGGGAGCTTTTAAATACAGGTTTCTGCCTGGCCAGCATGGCTCAGTGGTTGAGCATCAACCTAGGAACCAGGTCATGGTTGGATTCCTGGTCAGGGCACATGCCCGGGTGGTGGGCTCCATCCCCGATGTGGGGCGTGCAGGAGGCAGCTGATCCATGATTCTCTCTCATCACTGATGTTTCTCTCTCTTCCTCTCTGACATCAATAAAAATATATTAAAAAAATAAAACTGAAATACAGATTCTGGGCCTCCCACTCAGACACTGACTTAGCTGATCTTGGACCATGGCCCAGGGATCTGAATGTGGGGGCTGAGCTTACAGGGACGAGGAGCCCCAGGAGGCCCGGCCTCCAGGTGACACATTTGAGGCTGGAGCCCAGGCCGTCACCAGGAATTGCTGGTCAATGGAAGCCGTGGGGCTGGAGGCTGGGGCTCACCCCCAAGGCAGGTGGGCTGAGGGAGCGGACCTCAGGCTTGTTTGAACCGCCAGCTCTCCCCTTTCCCACAGCCCGTGAGGCAGCAGGGAACAGAGCCAGGGGACCTGAGGGTCTGGGCAGGGCCAGGGCCAGGGGACCTGAGGGTCTGGGCAGGGTCAGGGCCAGGGGACCTGAGGGCCTGGGCCGTGTTCATCATCGCAGTGGCCTGTCCCCAGGCGCTGAGCCAGGCTTCCTGCTAGGGGGAAAGGCTGCCTCTCGGCTCTGTGGTTGGAGACGGCTCTAGACAGAGCCAGGCTGGTGCCTGTGCAGGGGATGCCGAGTGTCAGGACAGGAGGGAGAGACCTTTGAACAGGAGAGAAGGAAAAAGGGCCCGTGGTTCTTCCACAGTTTGCAGGTCATTTCCTCCAGTGCAGCCTGAAGGCAGCTCCGTTGTCCAGGTGTCGGCATGTGGACTAGAGCAGCGCGCGCTCGCGTGCGCGTGCATGTGCGTGTGTGTGCGTGCATGTGTGTGCGTGTGCGTGGTGGGGGTCAGGGCTCAGGCTGGGCCTCACACCAGGTGGGCCTCACGCCCCCAGCCTGCACTGGGCCCTGCAGCGGTGACTGCACACCTGGCATCCCAGGGGCCCTCGGGCGGGGACCTGAGCAGAGGGACCCAGAGCACAAGCTCAGCCTAGGAACAGGGTGGTGACCTTTCTCAGCCTCACGGAGCAGGTGGAGCGAGAGGAGAACCTGGAGAAAACCCGAGACACGGGGCGCGCTCTCTGCACCCTGTCGCCGGGAGGGCGGGGCCGAGTGCTGGAGACCGTGCTGGGCCCTGCGGGCTCCGGCCTCAGAAAGTCGCTGTACGGAGTCGGTCAGACAGACGAATCCCCAGGACAGAAGCCAGAATTCCCAGTTCCCAGGGAACAGTGGGAAGCTTCCCATTTTCCATTTAGGTTCCATTCAAAGAGCAGGGGAAAGGGAAGGGGCGGGGCCCATCGAGGCTCTGGGTCTCAGAGGGACCCTTTTCCGTTCCCAAGTCATGGGGGAGGGCTAAAGGGGGGGTGGGGGGAGGAGCAGGTGCCAAACCATGGCCTTATCAGTCACCCCTGAGATGCAAATCATGTAACCCCCGGGCTCACGGGACAGAGCTGGGAGCCAGGAGCCAGGCATGCCCCGGGAACTTCCGATCTGATCTCCGATCTGATCTCCGAGGCTGAGGGGGGAGAAGTTGGGGAATCCTGTTCTCCTAAAGCTTCTGCATAACACAGACCCCCCCTTCCAAGCCCAGGAAAATGAGGGACCCCAGGGCCACCCCGTTCCCTCCCATCCACACCCCTCCTCCTGTCTGTGGCACCGTGAGGTCAGGGGTAATGAAACGCACTCCACAGGGATAGAGGCCGAGTCGGGTACTCTGCCTGGACGTGAAAACCCCATCGGCTCCGAAACCTCCCGTCCTGCCCCCTGTGAGTGGAGCCGGGGACGGGAGAGGCTGAGGGCGCGACACGGTCCCGCCCCCGGGACAAACCCAACGGCGGCCGCCCGCTCGGGAGGGACGTGGCCAGTGAGCAGGACGGCCGCCCGCTTGGGAGGGACGTGGCCAGTGAGCAGGACGGCCGCACGGGGCCAGGCCGAGCGGGCGTGCATGTCTCAGCTTCTAGTATGCACTGCTCCTCCTTTTTTTCTCTTGCTTCTTCCGTCCTTCTAGCTTTTCACTGTTCTGTCTTTCACAGCCAGCTCATCCTCCGAGGTGGACCTGCCACTGCACAGTATTTTCTGAGCCGCTTACAACGTTACCCATTTACTAAGGGCACGAAAGGCCCTCCCAGCTGCTCTGAGGGTGATGCCTCACCCACGTCTCCCCTCACGTGGGGGGGGGTAGGTGGGGGGAGGTTCCAGCCACGTGAACTGTGCCCGGGACAAACCACAAGCCCACCTTCCTCGCCTGGCGCAGTCCTGGGCGGCTCCCTAGGAGGTCAGTCCATCGCTGGTACTGACCACGAGCAGCAGGACCTGTTCTGCAGGTTCACACGGGCCCCGGTGTCAACAGAACCCCTGCTCCCAGGAAAGGACGGGTCTGGCACCGGCTCTGCTCAGCGTTTATTTTCGTGTGTGTGTGTGCGTGGGGGGGGGGGGGGCGGTCACTACAAACCAGGATGACCAAGTCCTGCGGCCTGGCAACTGCGACCACAGAGAGGCAGGGCGTGGCGTTCGCCAGCAGCCACACTCCCGGCGACAGGGATAGTCACGCCGTGGAAATGAGGTGCCGTTACAAAAGGCACCTGCTTCCGCTGAGAAAGCACAAAACCGGTAACTCCCGCCAATGTGACCAGCAGGCGGGGACGGAGTACAGAACAGACTGTGCTACGGAACCGCCCACCAGGCCACCTGTGGCCGTGACGGACAGTGGGCACAGGACGCGCGCCCGCTGCCCGCCCCCCCCCCCCCGAGGCCCCCTCCCCCATGCGGATTTCCGAAACGTGGCACATTCCAGGGTCACGAGGACAGGAAGCTGCTAGACGAGGGGCCCTCCTGACAGTTGTACAGCAGTAGGCGTCAGACAGGAACCTGTCAAAGGCAGCTGCTGCGGGCACTGATGGATTGTGTTTTCCCGCCGGCGGGCGGGCAGGCAGTGGCGGCTGCGGAGGCGTGCCGTGAACACACACACACACACACACGCACACACGCACACACACACACGAGCGCACACACGCTCACGCACACACACACACGCACACGCGCACGGGAAGCCTTTGAGCAGATGGCTGCGGGCAGTCAGCCGCGCCTCCACAGACGACACCCTGCGTGGAATGAACTTGCGAGGAGGCGCCGGATCATCATTTATTTGTCACGGAGGAGGAGCACACAGGACAGAATCAGGGGGACGGGGCCTGGGCATCGGGTGATGGTGCTGTGCTGCTCGCGGCTACAGTGTCAAGACACCCAAGTCGCCGCAGACAAATGTGAAGATGAATCTTCTGGATCCGTTCAATTAAAAAAAAATAAAAAGCTTCAAGATGATGTTTGATGTCTCAAAGGTAATGATTTCATTAAAACCCGCCCACAAGGTGAAACCACAAGCGCTGCAATTAACGCCACACCTTCCAGGGTGTGACGGCGCCCCGTCGCCATGGCAGTGCGGCTGTGACAGCGCGGGCTGCGGTGTTTGGGGCTCAGCCACGGCCCTAAAACCCCGGACATGCTTCCAGTGCTCAGGGGAGGGGCAGTTTCTGTCACTGGGCCGCTTAGAATCGCAAGTGGTCAAAAATCTACAAAATGTGCCCACCGTATTTCAACTACAAACCTCCCTAGCCCCGACTGCTCCTGATTTAGAAAAGGGCAAAGGTGCCAAGCTTCAGGAAAACTGTGCCTTCATCTCTATGCCACTTTACCATGTCAGGGAAACGAAACAAAACGTTCGCTGCAAAGACTGACTGGGTGCTAGAGTTCTGTACTTGCCACAGCCCCCGAGTACTGTTAGGGGCACATGGAGACCCCGGAAAATCGAGGTTTACACGGGAAATACCGACACGCCTTTTCACGGAACGGGGCGCGTGACGGCTGGATGGACACGTGATTCTCGTCGGTCAAATCCATGCCGCTCACACCATGGTCGGCACAGACAAGCCTCTGTTGGGTGGCTGTTAAAAACGTTACCTGTTATTTTAAAAAATTATTTTTTTCTATTTTAATCAGACACAAGATTTTTAGAAAAAGACCCCGACAGCAAGTCGCAGCTCAGCTTTGTGCAGGGCAACCTTTCCGTTAAAAAAACGCCGAGGACTCGCTGACGCAGGAATCGGACGCGAGCGCTGTGCCTCGGTGTCCTGGAACGCGTCTCGGAACGGGGAGCGGGGACTTCAGACGCAGGGTCGGAAACTATGCGTCTTGTCCCTAAATCCTCAGCCGCTTTCCCGTGGCGGACGGTCCATTTTGATGCGGGTTAATTGAAGCTTCTGGTGCTCATTTTCCTCCCATAATCTGTAAGGCCAGTATACAAAAAACTAAAAAATAACATAACATAACATACCCCCCGAGACATGGTGAAATGGGACACATACTCTGGGGAGCCCAGTCACAGAACACTGCGCCCCAAACACGGGGGCGGAGGCAGGGCTCCGAGTCTCCCGGACCCTTCCGGGGACGGTGCCCGCGAGCCCTGCGCTCCGTCGCTGCGGCGTAGGCGGGGCGCGTGGGGCCGGAGAGACGCGGCGGAGACGGGCAGTGGTAAACAGAGAACCGAGTCTCTCAGTAGTGTGTGCTTGACGTTCATGCCGACGGTCGTCCACGGACGTGCGGAATATTCTCTGGGGCAGAGAGATGAGTCTGAGATAACACGAAAGCAGACGCCGACCTACGAGGACGCCTTACCCCAAACGCCAGGAAATGAGAACGAGCATGAGGCGCGAGGCCCGGGAACCGCTCCTGCCAGGCTCACATCCTGGCGGCCTCCTGGTCCTTCTCCTCCAGCAGCTGGATGAGCCGGGAGAAGCTGTCCTTCAGCGCCGCCACGTCGCCCAGCGAGCAGGGCTGCAGGATCCAGCGCTGTCCGCGTGCCAGCGGCTCCAGCTCAAAGTACTTTTTGACCTTGAGGGGGACAGAGAAGACCAGCATGTTGTTAATGACACCAGGACCTTTCTCATACCGACATGTGAAGAGTGATCAAGTAGGGGGTTTCAAGGAGAACCTGTCCGAACTGTGATGCCTAGAACTTTCTAGAATCCCATCACAGCTGTGGTTAGAATGCGGGGATGTGTTGGGTGACCCAGGAATGTCTTTTTTTCCTTTTTCTTTATTAAAATACATTTTTATTCATTTCAGAAAGGAAAGGAGAGAGACAGAAACATCAATGATGAGAGAGAATCATGGATTGGCTGCCACCTGCATGCCTCTCATTGGGGATCGAGCCCACAACCCAGGCATGTGCCCTGACCTGGAGTTGAATCATGACCTCCTGGTTCATTGGTCGACGCTCAACCACTGAGCCACACTGGCCAGGCTGTTTCTTTGGGGCAAATGGCCTGCTTGCAACGCCATCCATACTCTTACCGGGGGTCTGGCGAAGCTGAAGAGAGAACCACAGGCTCGACGGCACAGGGCAAAGTACCCTGCAGATGCCAGAAAGGACCCCGGCCATGCAGAATGACGCAGGGCCAACCTCTCACCTGTCAGCCCGTCACCTCCTGAATGGGTGACAACCTACAGCACCGTCTGCACTCGATCCTCTACTCAAGACAGTTATTTGGATCAAACACACACAGAACAAAAATACAATTTACTCTTCTCTCGCTCCTTCCATATCTGGTATGTGTTTCTGAGACGGGGAATGTGGCCTCAGGACAGAGGGTGGGAGCCGAGGGCGTGCAGGTGCAGACAAACATGGACAAATACACCTGCATGCGTGAGGGCTCCCAGCGCCCCCTCCTGGCCCCGGATGCCACAGGGAACAATCCAGACCTAGAACTGGATGTGGTTGGGTCACTGACCCGTCACGGGTCTTGCTTAGGGTGCCGGCTGGGATACCGAGGAGCAGCGTCCAGGATCACCAACTCCTGGCTTCAAATACATTTCAAATCGTCATGACTGCTAGCATCGATGGCCTTCCCTCCAAGGGCACGATACAGTACTAAGGTCATGACCCCCGACACCCCCACGCCAACCCTCTGTATGGCCAGCCAGGGAGGGTCCGTAACACAGCACACCGTCGGGACCACCTCAGCGAGGCATGTTCAACTCTTTCTTGGCCAACACATTCCTTCCATCCCAGGCGTCATGGGAAACGCCAAGGGCTCCCCTCAGTCCGGAACTTTCTAGAATCCCGCCCACAGCTGTGGGTCCTGACCCAGCACCACAGAGAGTGTCCCACTCTTAACGCCATTCCCAAACGGCTTCCTTTTGCCTCGATCGCCGCGAGCACCAGGCCGGTGTCGGCAGCAGAGACGCCGTTCGTGGCGCGGAGATGTGCACGGTCGTCCGTGAGAAGGAGGGAGAAGCATACGGAGTTTCCTGCCAACTCAGGAACATCCATGAGCGTGCACAGTGCAAGCGCGTCCCCAGGTCCTGCACAGGTGCCTGCGGTTCCTGCTTCCTGTCGCCATCACTAAGAAACGAGGCCTTGGGAGTGGAGGCTCCTGAGCGGGTTCCGAGAAACGAAAATCTCATTCGCGGCAGAAAGTGGGCCCACGGCCCCAGGAAACGCCCCAGGGGCTTGTCAGAATGCCACGAGGACTCTCCCTCAGGGAGAGTGTCAGCTCCATCCTTTTCATTTCTCTTCCTTGGGGCCTGGGACCCTCCCAGCCAAGAGGATGGCAAACGGCCGTGTGGCCCCAGCGCCAGGGCCCGCCGCCTGGAGGACCTGCCTGTCCTGGCCGAGGGCGGCCGGCGGGGGTGATAGGGGCGGGGCGGGGGGGGGGGAGGGGCAGGAGGGGCAGGTGGGGCAGGTGCTCAAGGCCACACTCCAGGGGTTTACAGTCAGAGGTGCTGGCTTCGCCCAGGAGCGGGCTTCAAACGGCACCCACCCCTCCATACAGAGGCGGGAGCCCGGGCTGGTGACGCACCCGGTCCCTGACCCACACGCCTCCGTCAGGAGGGGCCGAGGGGACACCACGATCTGGCCTGGGAAGGAAGTCACACCCTCGCCACAGGCCTAGGCTCACCCAACGGACAGCGTGCGAGTATCAGCGGTGGAAGAGGTCTGGTGGCAAGAACTCCCCCGAGATTCACACAGAAAAGGATAAACACGACTGCGCGTGATCCCGACAAGACCTCCAAAGGGTTCACTCGAAAACGCACGGACCCAACCTGGTAGCTGTCAACAGCTCATTTGCAAACAATGTTCAATTTACATGATCACAAAATAGGTGACATTTTGCAATTCCGGACACACACACACACACACACACGCGCACGCACACACACACACATGTGCATACATGCACACACACACACACACACACACACACACGCAGACGCACACACACGGCGAGGTTTTAGCTCCCCGTGAGGCTGCTCTCGAGGCCACTGAGGACCAGCCTGGCGTGGGGCACACGCAGACTAAGCTGCTCCTGCTGACCCGGAAACGAAGCTCCCAGCCGAGGTGGTCCCCAGGGAAGGGCCTGGGCCAAGCTGACAACAAGCTGGGAGCCCGGGACCTACTGCCATCTGACCTGCCCTGGGCACTGCTGGTGCCAGGGGCTCCTCACCGCTGTCCACTTAAAACAAGGCGGGCATGGGGGGCTTTAGGGACAGGTGAGGGGGAGGAGTGGGGGGAGGAGAGGGGGGCTTTAGGGACAGGTGAGGGGGAGGAGAGGGGGGAGGAGAGGGGGGCTTTAGGGACAGGTGAGGGGGAGGAGAGGGGGGAAGGAGAGGGAGGCTTTAGGGACAGGTGAGGGGGAGGAGTGGGGGGAGGAGAGAGGGGCTTTAGGGACAGGTGAGGGGGAGGAGAGGGGGACTTTGGGGACAGGGGAGGAGGAAGAGTGGGGGGAGGGGAAGGGGGCTTTGGGGACAGGTGAGGGGGAGGAGTGGGGGGAGGAGAGAGGGACTTTGGGGACAGGGGAGGAGGAGGCAGTGAGTGTTGTGTCTGGAAGACAGGCCACACAGGTTGAACCCCATGGTGGGAGGAGGGTCTGGGTGACATAGCTGCCAGGGCTGGGAAGAGGGTGCCGGGCCCCTGGGAGCCCACGTGTCCGTCCAGGGTGCCGCTGACTGTGCAAGGGGAGGGGTTTGCTCATCTACACCCGCTCAGGAGCCTGGGGTGTCCCCTGGGGGAGACAATCGCAGGGAAATGCTCATTGTCCGCCCTCTCTCCCACCGCTGGCCCAGGGAATCCAACCGACAGCCCTGAACTTGGCCGCGAGGGGGTGTTTCGCCACGGACATCTGCAAGTGAACCGCTGGGACCTTGTCCTTCCGGGGAGCGGCTGTCTACCTCCCACCGCGCCCCACGGGGCGCGCACGCCTTGAATGCGGGTTGGCAAGGGGCCTCCAGCATGGCTGTCTGACCGGCCACGCTCAGGGACAGCTCAGCTGGGTGACCTTCCCCTGTCAGAGTGCACAGGCCCGGCGGCAGCTCCAGGCCGGGCCGGAGGCCGAATGCCCGGGCATGAAGATTCCTCAGCGCATTCCTGGCGGCCACTTCAAAGCGTCAGCGGCCCCTCCTCGCCCACGGCCCTGGGATGTTGAAACCCTTGAAAGGTGCTGAGTGTGTCACTGACAGATAAACATAAGACGGGCACGTCCCAGGGATATGACCACGGAGTGGCAGGGTTCCCCTCACGGAGCAACGGGGACCAGGAAGTGGCAGCCCCGTGCCGGCCCGTCACCCCCGGGCGCAGCTCTGACCGGCCCGTCCTGTCTCGGGGCTGGAAGCACTGCTGTGCAGGGAGCACCGGCTGGCCTCCGCACAGGTGCAGGCGAGATGTCCCACCACCACCTGGAGCAGGTCCCCCTCCCCAGAGCCCACTGGCCCTCAACACACCCCTCCTTCCCGCCTCTCCCCTTGTCTGTGATCATTTCTGCTCCACTCTTTCCAAAGGGCAGCATTTGGGGCCCTGGCCTCTCTGAGGGGTTCCACTGGATTCTGTGTCCCCCCGTTGGGGATGACACTCAGCGATGATTTCACTTTAGTTCAAGAAATCAAATACTGTAACGAGGAAGAAACCTACCCAGGCAGCACTTCTCCTGGCAATCAGAGATGGATGTTGAGAACATTCTCCCTGCACGCATGGGATGGAGGCAGGTCCGGGCCAGACAGGAGAGAGAATTAACGCACGGATGCCCCGCACATCAGAGACGCTCGTGTGAGACAGGCGCCCGGCATATAAAACGGTCCGCCGCCCAGCGAGTGCGCGTTCAGTGGCCGCCTCGCTAGATGCGCTCACCGTGCAGTTGACTCCAGGAGCGTTTTCCAGCTGAATACTCCCTGATATGCACGGCCCGCTGGGCGGGCGGGCGGCGAGGGTCCTGGCGTCAGAGTGCCCACTGGGGGGTCGGGACTCTATCTCACGAGGTTACGAGGCATCGGGGGGCATCACTCACCCACAGCTGTGTCTGCCTGAGGGGCGGCAACGGGTCGCAGCTCGGTCCCCCGCCGGCTGCGCGGGGCCTGGCCGCCCTGGGCTCTGTGGCCGGGCCCGAGGGTGAGGGCTGCTCGGGTCAGGGACTGCAGGCGGGCACCACGCAGACAGGACCCCTGCCTCAGCGCCATGCACTCACCCCGCGGCGCTGGCGTCAGCTCACACGGGGCGCCATCATCACACGGGCCCACAGTCAGAATTTTCCCAAGAAGCTCCTGTCGATGGTAACACTGGGCTTCGGTCACGCCTTCTCGTTTGCTTTTTCCGTGCCACGCGTCTCCGCGCCACGAACGCCCTCCCACGGGCGGCCGCCCGACGCCTTCCACGCGCCCCGCTCTCCTGGGCAGCAAACTCGGGCTACACACACAGTCCCATCTCCCCTTCAGACGATGACGCTCCTGCCCCCCGCACCCCACGGTGTTCCCATAAGATGGCAAACTGCTTTGCTAGTTCTCACCTGAGGATATTTTTCATTGATTTTTTTTTTAGAGAGAGAGTGGAAGGGCGGGGGAGA